ACTGTGGGGTATTACAGCAAAGCCCAATCCTGTTTTCACCCAATGTGACATGCACACTTCCAGCAGGTTTGCAATGTTGCTTGTTCACAGTTTTAAGATAAGCAGCACACACCAGAATCCACGTTCCAGGTAAATATGTGAAAGTCTTAAATCAACAGTATTAACACAACAAAACTACAAAACTTTTCACTCCTGAAGGGCTGTCAGGAGTGCAAACTTCGGCTGATTGTCTCCTCCCTAATTTGAGGCTTTGAGGGAAGTTGTGGTGGCATCCCAGCTGAGGCCAGAGAGCTCGGCACAGACCCCGGACTGAACTCGGGTAAAATGCTTTTTAATAGGTTGCACGTGCCAGGATGGTTATGAATCAGAAGTCTTGTTTAAATGCTGTCTCAGCTCCTCTTATTGATGTGGAATGTTCCCTTTCTTTCTCTCACTGTCTTATTGTTCCCATCACTAAGCAACATGACTAAAATACTGTATATTGATGCAAAATTAACCCTTCTTTCACAAGAACTTCCATTCTTTTCATAGCTTTCTTTTTCAGATTTAAAAAAAGAAGCTTCCTAAGGGGAAAGGTTAATGCTTTCCAGATACAATTTCACATGCTACCATATAAAGTCATTTGAGAGACTCCTGCATGCAGCGGAATTACATTTAGTCTTCACAAGGAGCTATCCAAATACTGGTTATATTATTTTTAAATATGGTTGAAGTCATTGACCATTTAAGGAGATACGGATTGAATTTTTTTTATAACTAGCTAAATAAGAAACATGCCATAGTATGTAAAACATTTGTTTTTTGCTTTCTTCTGCTAGATGCTACAGTGTAAAATTTCCTGGAACTTGTATAATTGCATTTTTATCCTTGTCTCCCCTGAGTATCTGAATGGAATGTGTTCCTGCTAATCGGGAATTCTTACACGTTGCACACATAACAAGTTTGTAGTGGTGCTTGTTCACAGTTTTAAGTTAATTAGCGCACACCAGAATCCGTGTTCCAGGTAAATATGTGAACGTCTTAAACCAAGTTATTAACACAACAAGACCTTTCCCTCGTGGTTTGGAGAGAAGGCTTGAAAGGTGGGCTCATTTGTGGTATTTGGACTAACTGAAAGATCCAGCATCTTGTCCTGATGAACACTTTCCATCAAGGAGCATTCTGTGTGCTAAGCTCTGGAATTGTGTCACTATAAAGGATGATCAGAGGAAAGCAGCAGCCTGTGTACCTATGATACCTTTCACCTATGAGAATATCCCAATGCTCTTGATAAACATAATGATCGAATTGTGTGGAAAAATAAGAGATTTAAAAATATGAACTAAAGAGATGTGAGAAAACAAAAGAGGTGGTACTGAGAGACATTATCCTGTGCGTAGGCGCTATATAAATACAAGTTGTTGTTGTACTGTGCTAAGTACTCTGAGACTCTACCCTGTGTGTGAAACGCTATATAAATGCAGGTTGAAGTTGTTGTAGAAAGGCAAAGTGGCTTTGGAGTATAGTTCCAGAGGATAAGAGCATGATGAAGGCCGTTAAAGATAGATTGGGGTTCACAGTCTTCCCTCTACCCTCCAGGTTGAATGGCCTATAACACTCACTGTTTGGACTCATCCAAGAACCTCCCACACCACAGGTCAGTGCATTCAGGAAAGGAGGGGAGATATTTTAGAGAAAAATGAAAGGTAAATGAAAGAAGTAAGTAGGAGAACCTCTTACAGAAGTGACTGAAGGCAGTCAGGCAGGCAGACTGAGCGTTCAGGTATTTTTGCCAAATGATTTGTTGCGGTTACAACCAAAAAATGAGAGAAAGGAGGATTACCATCAAGGTATCAACTGAGTATAATTTGGTTTATTATCTCTCACAGGAATGGAGAAGAGTGGGAATCAACAGACAGCTTTTAAAATAACCACACGGTGACATTTTGCAACATTTCATATTGCAAATTTCACCCCATCACTTGCTAAAAGTGGTCTAGCACCGTCACCACTGGCAAAAGCATTGTTTGTGTAAAGTGGGTTTGCTCCAGTGAACCCCTTGTTCGGCACACAGACTAGTAAGACTGGCTCACTCCCGAGATCCTGGCTCATTCTTGAGATCCCGACCAGAGCCCTGAAGAAGCCACTGTTTTGTGCCGAGTGTATTTTGTATTTCACTGTTTGATAAAGTTCAGAATGTTTCCATTGTGGCTCATAATGATGTGGGAGAGGGGAGTAGCTCAATTTAGAGCAAACATTGGTATGGGTTAGTTAGGCCAAGTAGCTTGTTTTCATGCTAAAACATTCTTTCTTATTCCATTGGTTCATAATATATACAGGATTGGTGTAGCTCTGTAAAGTAACCCTCTTCTCAGCTAACCCAATATATACCCACTCCAGCATTCATAATACTGTAGCAAATCCTTCCATACTGCATTATGATGTTTAGCAACATGGAAGAACAAATAGTTATTTAGCAAGATAAGTTTAAAAATGCTTCTCGAACGGTTGAGAACTGCAGTGAGACTAAATTCACCACATCAAATTCGGGATTTGATGTTTCTGCAATGTATTATTAAAGCAAGGTCCATGTGCACAGACATTCTCTCATTGAATTCTGTAACATGTCGGTGGGTCATTTTAGATTCAGGTTACAGCTTCTCAAAGCTGCATTCTACAGTGAACTCAAATCCCCACATAAAGTATTCCATCAAACATCCTGGTCATCGAGTGATACATAAGGGAATGTGGAGCAGGCAAACTGGCTGCCAGCAAAGTAAATGATGCAGTACCGGCATACTGTTTCTTTTGCATGCTCCACTTATGCTTACTCCATCAATGCTGGAATCGTATCTCCATATCACTCAACGGTTATTGTATTTCAGGAACGTCACCACATTAAAAGAGAAAGAGGTAAAATGAAAAGTAAAATGAAAGCACTTAGCCTCTCAACATGTCATACAATCTTCTGAGGGTGAGAGATTAAATCAGAAGCCACTGTACCATGGAGGGGACAAACACTTCCCCACAAGGATGGGCAATAACTTGAGGGTGATTTATCACTCCCGAACCTCCTAACACCCAGCTCAAGCGTGTTTGTGGTGATGGTGTGGAGCGGGCTGCCTGCCAGCCCACTAACACACAAGTGGTGTCTGAAAGGGTTGGCAGGCAGACAGACTAAGAGAGCGAAGGAAGAAAATAACCAGGCAATGGAAAAATAGAGGCCTATTTACTACCCTCACCAAACAAAAATGTAGGGTTTTGCCACCAAACTCTTGAGAAGAAAACCTTTGGATTGTTGACCATGTGAAATCCGTGGACAAGGAATGATCTCAAATACCTGAAAGAAAACAATGGCATCCAAAATGTTTTGGCAGCATCACTGCAGGGTGGCTACTCCCCTCTCCCACACCATTATGAGCCACAATGGAAACATTGTTAACTTTCTCAAACAGTGAGATTTCACCTCAGAGGTGAGTCGCGAAACGGAATTAATTGTGATGTGAAAACATTGACCGGCTGGCAGCACCTATGTAATGTTACCTCATCTTAAATCTTCACCCTTAGAAGAAGAGGAAAGAAAGTGGAGGAAGGCAAATTGTTGATATAATCTTCCAATGAAGTTTCAAATATTCTAATTCCAAATAGAACTCAACTGTGGAGTCTGGGATACGTGCATTGAACAGCAGGCACTCGCTCTGATGCAACTTAATACCAGACTAATACCAGAAGAAACCCTGGCTTGCATTCCTTAATTCAGGATTCATGGTTGAAATTGATGTGTTCTAGGCCCTGACTTCAGCCTCCCAACTGCAAATTATTCCACTTTTTATGCCAAGCCTTTTCTCATCTCTATAAAGTACTGTGGAAATTTTCGAGATTATTCTCTACATAGCTGCAGTCATGTTTATGCCAAAGTACAGAGGAGAATAAATTCTCTCACGCTGCATTGTTCCAAAATATTGAGCAATGTAGTTTGTGCAAACTCACCTTACTTTTAAGAGAATAATAAGAGAAACCACCTCCTGCTGGAACAATTAACTAATAGCCAGCCTAGTGTTTGTTCCAAAGGTGTTTGATGTATAGGAGTTAAAATTGTGACCTGTGATATGTTAATTGAGGTTTCATGAAAGATTTTGTTCTGTTTATAACTAAAAGCATTGAGTGATCTGCAGTTGTAACCTTTCATCCACCCCTCCCGACTGTGTGACAGTGACTATGGCCAAAGCAGATTCACACTGCATTTTGGACTTGATGCTTGATGGACCATTGTACTGAATTGCCTGTTTTACACTTCACTGTGCCATTTTTTTCCTTAAGCTGTATCCGTGAATCATCATGACAATGCTACAATCTGTGGACTGGCACGTCCAATGCGCAATGCAGGGCAGCTTCGGGTCCAACCAATGCAATGGAGTCAGGGGAAGGGTTACACTTGTGTACCAATCTATGTCCCTTTCTATTGCCAAGGCAGAATTTCCAACAATAACACCCACGGGTGCTCAGTCACCAATGTCAAGCGCTTTGAGAGATGTTTTATCATTTTTATCTATGAAAATGATCGTCTTCTGGGTCATAAGGTTGTCACACAATCATTTCATGTGTGTAGTGGCAATTGCAGCACTTCCTGCAGATCGCATCTGTGGCGACATTGCCACCTGGACATTGCCCATTTTTGTAGTTAAGAATATCCCCCAATATATCAAAATAAAAATAAGTATCTAAATTCATAATAACTTGAAACCGTGCAAATATAAATATGTTTGAAGTTTAAACCATAATTATGGATTGCATAAACGTTTTAAAGGCCTGAGATCAATTTGAGGTCAGAAAAATGAGTTGGTGCAACTAGAATATTATTGCTATATTATGAAGTTATCAAGTTATTGAAATAATATTTGAAGAGAGGAAAGTGCCAAATGTTCCCATTCCTTGTACTCACCTTCTCTCCCTCTGCATGCACATTCTATGCATTGTGACTATGAATTATTGAGAGATTATAAAGGAGTAAGAAAAGCAAATGGTTGTTTAGGATTTTTATTCCAGCTTTTTATGTAATAGCATTTCAAAACACATGCATTAGAAACGATTCTGTGCTTATGATATTTATATACTTGCAAACTTTATACACCTGTAATTGTTGATATACTTGTTTGTGCAAACCATTGTATAACAGCGTGAAAATATGTGCACTTTGATCAAGCAGTAAAGTACAGTGAATAAATCAGCATTGCAGCATAAAGAAATAACATGCAGATACAGTGACAGCAAACAGTTATATGACATAGTGCGCTCTAAATATGTTACCAAAGTTTCTCTTTTCTCAAAGAGTAAATATTCTCTACTTTTCACATCTCTATCTTACTCAGCCTTCACGGTTAACATTTCGAAACATCTGATGTGAAATAAAACAGATACGATCAATTTACAACTCAAAGTTTAGTCATTTAAGTAATATATCTATCCTCATTTATTTTTTATTAGAAAAACAAATCTTCCCTGACTTTTCATAAAGTTTTAAAATGAAGATATTTCCATAGCTAAAATATATGAAAGGTTAACGGTGACAATTGACCCACATCACTTACATATAAAGCTTTGTACTATGTGAATCACTGCATACCTGAAGCAAATTAGGGCATTGGAGGAGGACATTGCACTGTGGTTAAGAAACAAAAGTAAATGTAATACAAACAATGTATAATACTTGTAATATCACTGTAAATATTTATGACAGGACAGTACTGTGCGAAATAACAGAACATGCATTCTTTCCTTAAACACTTCTTTCACTCCACGCTGAGTGGTTTAAGTTCTAGGAATATTTTAAGTTAAAAATCGTTACACGTTTAAACCAAGGGAGAGAAAAAAAAGTTTTGCTCATTTTTAATAGCTTAGTTCCTCGTGAGTGAGAGTATCCTGAGGGTGATGCATAGAAAAGAGCACATCAAGGCTCCACAGATTCACAGCAGTCCACGAAAGATGAGCTTCTTGCTCGAAGATATTGTCTGGGAATTTTACATCAGCAGCACGATGATATACATAAGGAGGAGGCATATTAGAATCAGAGTGAAATTGACAAAGAGCTCCTGCAGGTTTCGGCGAGCCTGTGGGTTCACTTCAATTGCAGAGGCTCTCCTTATGGCAGAACGGGTCATTTGCTGAACCTTTTCCATGGCGACACAGGCACAGGTTGTGAGGAGGTATGAAGACAAATGTGAGAGGTCGAGTAGCTGCAGTAGGTATTTTTTGATCTCTGACTAGAAGATCTAGTGAGGCAGGTAGAGGAAATGTACAATAGTGAACAAACAGGACAGGTGCTGTGGTCAATTAACACACAGCTTAATACTGTGTTAGGATTTTCTGAGGTGCACAGTTTGCATAATTCATTATGGTTGTTTAAATAGAATTAGGCACAATTAGAACATGCGCAAACGTTGATGGTTGCAACAAATAGCTTGCGATACAAACGGGAAGCTGTGAGTACCGGAAATCTGAAAACAAAACGCAAACATGCTGGAAATGCACAGCAGATCAATCAGCATCTGTAAGGGAATGGCAAGTCAACACTTCGGGAGGACTCTTTATCAGAACTGGAGAACCATTCACACCACCATTACTTACATGTTATGAACACCTAGCAAAAGGATTGCTAGTGTTAGTGATTGGCAATAGCCCCAATGACTTAATTTACCTTGACCGTGCTCCTCTGCTACAATCAAGAGTTCTTATTCTTCATCATTCTGATATTTCCAGCCTGTTTACCCATTGCTTCCTTTTAGCTATTTTCAATGGGCTTTGAAAACTCATTCTCAGTGTAATCTAAAGAATTATTGTCTTATTGCTGAGGGTTTTTGATCTCTGTGCTGCCCTGCACAAAGATTCCCAAATTTTTTGATCCAAGTTTCTAAGTGAAAATAAAATCTTCACTCTGTCACTGTCCCTGGTCCCCACCCTTTCCATCGTCCTGTCCGCTACCTGTCTGAGAGTGAATGCAGTTTAATCCAATCCACAAACATTCTACAGATATGGGCAAAGCTGCTGCTTGGCTGACCTGTAAGTGTGCAAGTTTGGAAAAAACTCCCACCCCAGTCTTACTCCATGCTACATTTCCTCTTCCTACAGGTGAGCTATTTGAGACTGAGGAAGATCAAACGTGAGGATTATCAAGATCCCTTCAGAAAATCTGAGTGAATTTCTGGGAATCCAACCTTGCTCTACCAGTCAAAACCAATGTTTTTTATGCTGCACTACCGAGGTCCAAATTTCCACTGAGTCGTAGCTTGTAAGATTGCTTAATCTTAAAATTTAGAATTGTGCAAAAATTCTTAAATACAATCTTAATTTGGAACCCATTTTCCCACACATCTTATAAAGAACTGGCTTCCAAGTTATGACTATATTCCCACATTTCTGCACAGTCTGATATGTTACAAGAACGTGGTCTTGCAGGCTGAAACTAAGTGCAATTCCAGGCCCTTACCCATTGTGGCTCATACAATTAAAAGTAGCATCTTGTGGAACTAGGAGCTAATCATAGCTACATTTTGAAAAACTCATGCCTTTTTGACACTTGTTTCAGAGGTATTTTAGTTTAGGGAGTAAGTGATCAAGGTCAGCAGCATGTACTCTGTGAACTCGCTCTTAACTCCTGAGTTCTGACTCCATATAATTAGCAGGTGAAGGTAAAAGGGCTCCCAGAATGAGCACGTTATTGGCATTCAGTCTGGCTGCCAAAAGTATAAATAGCTTTAAAACAAATCATGTTGGGAGGTCCACTGTTGGGGAGTGGAGGGATATCTTTAGCTCTTACATATGTGAAACTGTGGGGTATTGCAACTTTACATACTAAGTACAGAACCATTATACATATTCAGACCTCATTGTCCATTATCCTTGACTGACACAATCTCACTGAACTATCCTAAATGAAACTCACTATTTCTCATTTGAACATTGAATGGTTTGTTTGGTTATAACGTTGACCTACCTTTATGGCCTAGATTTCAATCCAGGGCTGACTGATGAGATAAAATTTGCCTCTGTGATGGCTGCAAGGACCCAAAGTGAAATTAGTCTAGTTCGGCCTGACTTGGTAGGAATTAATTCAATGCACAAAATCTCACCAAATTTGGCACTGATTGATACAATTTACTGTCAGCTTGGTAAGTGACCAAATTTTAACAGTGAACATATATTACTCTGGTTTTCAGTGCACTTATAATGGGATTTCCTTATCCAGGCCTTCTTATTCAGAGGTAATTTCAGGATAGACACCAGGAGGGTTTTCTTTGCTCAGAGGCTAATTAATGACTGGAACAGATTACAGAAAAGATGTTTGAGGTCAGGACATTGGATCTGATTATCAAAACAGTTCGGTGCTGTGATGGGAAAACAATAGGCTGGCTATTCTGGAGGAATGAGATCAGATGGGCCAGAGGGTCTTCATCATCTGATCCAATCTTGTGATCTTATGACAGGTCACTTCTGCCATGGGAAATGGAAATGACAAACTATTACAATAGAGGGTGCTCTGGTGGTGGTGGGTTTTTCGGTTGGTGTGGGGAGTGGGTGGGGTGGAGGAAGCCAGTGCTTAACCTGACATCTAATCTCAATTTTAATGATCATAAAATTAACACAATTTAAAAAAAAACAGACACCCAGCTGATAAAAACAAATTGTATTCTTCTTAATATATAGGTTTACATCATACAGGGGGCTATTCAGCCAATGTCCTGCAGCTAGCTCTCCCACTGGACCTTTCAATCCTAATCCCATTCACTTGACCTTCCCCATACCCTTTATTACTCTATTATTTTACTGCATATTTTTAAACTGGTAGAAACTGGGCTTCAGCAGTCGTTTGTGGTAAGGCATTCCACCTCCTAACAACCCTGTGGGTAAAAAAAATTCTCTTTAAAAGTAACTTTGTCCCCTTCATATCCTATTGTACATAATGCAAGAGGATCCATCCTTCTCTGTGATTGTTGGTTTTCATGTTATGGTCAGTATAGATCATCAGAAGAAGAGCTATGGGTTTAAAGTGGACTTGATGGTGGCATTTTCTGATGTGAACCAGTAAGAGAACAGATGCAGTTTTGTTAACTGCAGGGCCATTGTCAGAGACGTAAAAGGAATGAGGAATGCGACGAATAGCAGCCCTGGGAGCTGTCATCCTCTCAGCAGGTCATTCTTTCAACTTTGTGTTGAAGGGCTTATTATTCTTTTGCTTAAACCCTTGGCTGTGATCTATTTTTAATTATTATCAGAGTTTGTGGTGTTATTCCACAAACCTTGCCACCTTTGTCACTTCATCTTAAGGTCAGTCAAGGGCAGATCACTTGCATTGTACTCTCCTGAATGCTGAACATAACTTGGCCTTAGCAACAATTTCCTTTGGTTCTGTGACCCTGCCGCATGATTAGATTGCAGCTGGGAAAACCACATCTAAGGGACATGTCACGGTGACATTGGGTTCACTTTGTGACTTCTTGTCTGACAGACGTGTATGAGAGTTGATGAGCTTTGGACAGAAGATATCTGTCACTTTTCAGTTATGCAATAGAAGTTATTATTAGTTATGACTATACAGATTAGGGAGATGTCATCTTTAAAATGAGCACAGTTTTTCTAATCTTACCTGTAAGATTAATAATTTCAGGTTGAAGGAGACCATCTCGTACTCCAGTCTAATTTCCTGCAAGTTTCCTTTGGTGTATGTATTCTCTAAAGTCAATGATTCTGAACAATTCTATTCACTGACTATTGCCATCAGAAGCCAGGAGAAAGGCCTTATTCAAAACAAATACTTTGAAGAACAACTTTGAATAATACGTCATGATTGAAATGGACAGAGTGAGGGCCGATCATTGCCTGATAGTGCTAGATCCACACTCTTGGTCTCACACATACAACACAAACATACAAACAGTAACACACTTCCCAATAAGTTTCTGGTTTACCTCTCCTACCCTGAGCGACCTTTCATTTGGACTTTCCTGCTTCCCGCAATAAATTGGGAGCTCAGTTCAGTTCCACATCCATGCTAACACAAAGTCAATATAAACCTCTAAAAATATCTAATTTCAGTTATATTTAATAACAGTGCCCTTTTCCCAATTGGAAATTCAAAACTGCAGCATGATTTGTAAACATAAAGTGAAAGGTCAAGCTGTTCTATTGCTGTGATTACTCTGGGTAAGTATGGGACTGTATCGGGCAAAGGGAAACATTAAGAAAGTGTGAAATTTAGTGGCCTAAAAAATCCATGTCTATTTCATGGCATTTTAATTCAGACTCTGGCTGTTCCAGTGGGAGAGACTTGAAGGGTTACGGAATGAATACAGAATAGCTCAGAATAGATTCACAGAAAGTGTAGCATAGAAGAGGACCACTCAGTTCATTGAGTCTTTTGATGTGTTGCTTCCTTCACTGGAGAGAACTACAATAATTCCAATTATCTGTTCTATTTCTGTACCATAGAATAATAGAAATGTTCAGCATGGAAAGAGGCTTTCAGCCAAAATGATTGTAACACTGTTACTTTTTCATTTGTTTTTTCTGTTATCTTTTTTATTTCTCCTACTTTCCGTCCCTTACCCCCGTATTGCTTAATGTTTTTACTTCTCAGGTGCTTATTCTGTTCCTTTCGAATGATTCTATTCATTCAAACTCATTATCTTTTTATGTTCTCTTCAAATGTTTATCCAATCCCCTTGAAATGCTGTTATGGTTTTAAGCCATTTGTGACAAAGCAATCCATATTATAATAATAAAATAATAATCCTTGCATTTGATATAGTGCTTTTCACATCTTCTAGATGTCTCAAAGTGCTTCACAGAATATACTGTAAAGTGAATTGACTATATTTGTGGGCGAAACATGGCAGCCAATTGCGCACAGCAGTGGCACACAAACAGTAGTAGATTGAGTGACCAAATTGTTATTTTTTTTCAGAGATTATTATCCCCGAAAAGCGATCTGCCAATCGACTAACAACCAGGTTCCCACTTACTGCTAGGTAAACAGAGACGTGTGGAGTAAGGAAACTTGCCCAACATTTCGCCCTGCCGGGAATCAAACCCAGGTCTCGCGCTTGTGAGGCGAGTGCTCCACAAGGGTTATATTCTTGTATCCCTTTGCATGAAGAAGCTTCTCCGAACCTCTACTATCTTCTTTAGTGACAATCCTGATCTTATAGTCACCTGTGACTGATTTACCAGCCAGCAGGAACAACCTATAGCAATGCATTCTCTCAAAACCATTGAG